CACATTCAGTTCTTATTTTTTATTTGTTGATATGATTAGTAAGAATGCATACTTCTTCAGGGGCTAGAGTGATAGCAAAGCGGGGAAGGCATTTGACTTGCATATGGCCGACCCGGGTCCGATTCCCAGCATCCCATATAATCCCCCGAGCACCTCCAGGAGTAATTCCTGAGTGCATGAGCCAGAAGTAACCCCTGTGCATCGCTGGGTATGGCCCAAAAAGCAAAAAAAAAAAAAAAAGAATGCATACTTCTTTTTGTGGGAGGGAGGAGGACACACCTAGCAATGCCCAGAGGTTGCTCCTGGCTCTGCACTCAGGCACTGCACCTCCTGGCAGTTCTTGGGGAACCATATGGGATGCTCAGGATTGAACTCCAGTTGGCCTCATGCAAAACAAGTGTCCTACCTCCTGTTCTATCTTTCTAGCCCCAAGGCTACATCTCTTTTTTTAATTGAATCACTGTGAGATATACAATTACAAGGTTGTTCATGATTGAGTTTCAGTCATACATACAATGCTCATATAATGTTCATAACGTTCCGACACCCATCCCTTCACCAGTGCACATTTCCCATCACCAGTATTTCCAGTTTTCCTTCTGCCCCCTGTACCATCCCCTCAACCTGCTTCTGTGGCAGACATATCCCCTCCAACCTTCCCCCCCACCTTTTTTTAAGGCACTGTGTTTTGCAATACTGCTACTTAAAGGATATCAAGACTGCATACGTCTTGAGAGCAAAAGTTGTATATTCGTATTGGCTTCTTCAGTTTTGTGGTATTATGCCAGATACGGTAAATAAGTGAATTAAGGCATGCATGATTAAAGCACCCTTGATTTCACCATTGCCCTGGTGCCACTTTAGAAATCTTTTCCTCATTTCTTTATTCCCTGTCCTACTTCCAGTCATTATTTATCTCATTAAATATTAGTGTATAATTTTATCATTAATATATTTAGGTTATTTTAAATGTGACTCTTCCCACAATTCGAAATCTAGAATGTCTCATTGTGATTCAATTAAAAATAAATTTAAAAATTTTTAAAAATACCACCAAGATGTAGAATGTCAATAGTCCAGGGTTTATTTATAAGACTTTTAAAAAATAGCAGGTATACTGGAAACCACCTGCTGCACACAAACCAGCTCTCTATCAACAGCAATGCTAGTTCTATGTTCATGTCCCAAGGAAATTCTCCTTGCGTCTTCTGAAATGCATTGGTATTATATCTCTGAAATGGATTCTTTGTATTTGACCTTGTTGGTGGTGCCTGGAGTCCACACTCCTCCCCTTTATCCCCATCTGTCTTTCGATAAGGTCTTTGAGTTCTAGCCCTCCTCACTTTCTCATTTGCTGAATTCAAACCATATTCAGCTATCTCCTCACTCCTGACCTTTCGTATATACTGACTAGCACTTTGTATATATTTATTGTTTGTTTGGGGACCACATCAAGCAATATTCAGGAGTTACTTTCAGAAAGCTAGTTGCTCGGTGATAAAGATTTGATGCCTGGGCCAGATGAGGCCATGCTACTGGAGTCTGTTGGTGCTCAGGTGCCACCAGAGAGGGATGTGGGATATAGTATCAGACATCAAACTTGGGGTCTTGTATATGCTAGGCATGTGCTCTATCACTTAAGCTGTATCTGCTGTACCCTGTAAGGGTCTTTGACTTTCACATTTCAGGAGTGGTATTATCTGCTAATAGATAAATATATGATAATGGGGACAGAACTCCTTGAAGAACAGGAGGTAACAATATCTGGATTAGCTCCACCCAGAACATAAGTTTACATATTTAGTATAGCATGAAGGTGTCATTTTACATTTCTTTGTTTTATGGCAGAATGTTTTTTGTTCAGGTTTCATCTGTGCAGCAGGAACCAGAGAAGAGCAAAGTAGATCTCAAATAAATGAATATTTTAAGAACATACACATATTCTAAACAAACTATGATTGGGACCAGCAGTCTCTGTGATATCAGACCCTAAAGTGAAAACTTTTCAAGGTTTTTAGGTGTAGTTCGGTGATCTGTGATATCCTCAGAGATTATGAACCAACATGAACAATAACATCAGCTTCCCTTTACTATACACACACTTTGTTCCAGGAACGTATAAAATATTTTAATGACCAGGTTTGATCACTGGCATTCCGTACGGTCCGTCAAGCCCGCCAGTAGTGATCCCTGAGCATAGAGCCACGAGTCAGCCCTGCACACTGCTGGGTTTAGCCCATAACCTGTGTGTTTGTGTTTTCTTGTTCTTCACGACAAATTCATAAGGGAGTTGAGTGGGTTTTATAAGTGAACGGTGGACTTTTGAGGTGCTACTTTGCACAGAATCATTACCATGTAGAAGGTAGCTATACCAGGAGTAAATACGGACTGTTGCTCTGCAGAATTAGCTCTTTTGAATCAGCAAGCTATACTTCCCTGCCTCAGATCAATGGACAGTCTTGTGGCCATGTCGGCTGCCCCATTCTGACCATCCGTCCTGGAGATTCTCCAATGAGACAGGAACCTAAGGGAGGACCATATGGGGCTTTTTCTTTAGACTGCAGTGATACTTTCACCGTAGCATCTTCTCTGCAGAAAGAGATAAAGGATCTTCTTCAAAAACTCATGCTTGCAATCACAGCCACATTTGAGATGAGAAACTGTAATGCACTCCACAGCCAGGAGGCTACTCCACCATCTCCCAGAACTGTTTCCCATGCTGATATATTTGATCACAAGCATCCTTTTGAAAACAATTTCTTGGTTAAAAAAAAAAACACTTTTTGCTACTGGGCCCACTCGAGGAAATCGATGAACAATGGGGGGAGGACAGTGACAGTGAAACTTTAGAGGTTACTGTTTTAGATGTAAGATGTTAGTTTGTTGAATTACAGATCTAACCAAAATACTCGCCAAAATCCTGAGAACTGTGGCACCTTGCTGACTTCATTCAAAATTGTACTTTGTGCTAAGATTTCTACCCCTACCCCAACTTTTTATTGAAGTGTGACTTATAGAAATGTGCATAGGGGTGTGCCGCCAGCAGGTCAGTCTGTACCTGTGAGGCGAGTGCATCGGCAGCCTGGTGGCACCTTCAGACTTCCAGATATACCAAAATTGCTGCTGTGCCATTGGCCAGACCCCAAAAACTTGGGGCAAAGTTTACAAAGAAAGTAAACGGCCAAAAGTTAGGTATGTGGAAGACACACCCACAAACCACCTCCAGCTCAGCTATATAATTGGAGGCATGGCCTCTCTGGTTCCTGATCAAGCTGCTTAATGCCATGATCCCAGAGACTCAGAAACAAATCTCAAAACCCAGCGGCTTTTGGCAGAAATGCTTCTGGTCCCTGCAGTAGGTTACCGGCACTGGGCCACTCCAGGTGGGAATAGGTTTCATGTCTTTGCCTGTTTCCCCTGGTGGCCCAGTGGCCGTCATCCTCCAGAGGCCACCGGACAGTCAGGTTTGGGCCTGCAGTGACGAGACATGTGGGACCTCACGGGATGGGGGTGGAGCTGGCCCTTTCCTCCCCGTTCCAACAAGGCCCTGAGTCGCCATCCATGAACGGCGTCTATGGCTCCTGATCAAGCTACTTAACGGCCATGATCCAAGAGACTCAGAAACAAATCTTGAAATGCAGCAACTTTTGGCAGAAATGCATCCGTACCCTGCAGTAGGTTACTGTTGCCAGGCCACCCCAGGGAGGAAAGGGTGCTGTCCCTTCGCCTGCTCCCCCTTGGCAGCTCGGTGGCAGCCATCCTCCAGAGACCATTAGTCAGTCAGGTTTGGGCCCTCAGTTACAAGACATGCAGGGCCTCGTGGGATGGAGATGGAGCCGGCCCTTTCTTCCCTGTCCCAACAAGACCCCAAATCGCCGCACACAGACGGCCTCTCTGGCTCCTGATCAAGCTGCTGAACAGCCATGATCCCAGAGACTCAGGAACAAATCTCGGAACCCAGCAGGTTTTGACAGAAATCCCTCCAGATTCAATTGTTAAAATTTTGGAATTTCAAAATTGTACAGCCACTACTGCAGCCACGTGACATCATATGTTATTCATAACCAGCAATAGAAAACAAATTGTCTACTATTGCCTTTTCGGCAGATCTGTGTGTTGGGGTAAAATCTCAAATAATAATGGTGGGTCTGGTGTCAAAATATTGAATGTGATCAAAGTAGAGAGAGAGTAATGTGGAGGTCATCTGCCCCACCGGTAGGGTGAGGGTGTGGAATGGGGGTATACTGGGGTTTTTGGTGGTGGAGAATGGGAACTTGTGAAGGTACGGGTGTTTCATTGTATGACTGAGACTTAGACCAGAAAACTTTGTAACTGCTTTCACGGTGATTCAATAAATACAATTATAAAAAATGAAAAAAAAGAGAAATGTGCATAAAGTGCATAGTTGAATGACCTAGTCAACTGAGCATCCCAGGAGGCTCCTTGTATTCACCTAGTGCTGACATAGCAAAGAACCACAAACTGGGTGACTTAAAACAACAGAAATCTGTTTGGAAGGTTGGACACATGAATTCAGATGTCATCAGAACCACACTTCACCTCAAATCCCTTAGGACTCGATCACTCTAGGCTCTGCCTGCCTTGTCACATCGCACTTTCCCCATGGGTCTTTCTTCACATGACCTTCTGAGGACAGTCTAGATCAGGGTCAACCCCCATTCTAATATGACCTAATCTTGGCTAGTTACATCTGGAATGACAGAACTTTGAGACGCAAATACACAATAGAGGGCCAGAGAGATTGTACAGACATACTATAAGCCAACTTGGTTTTGATCCCCGGCACTACATTGTACCCAAATTTTTTAATTGGGTTTTTTAAATTGTGTTTTCAAAAGGGATAGAATTATAATTAATGTATCAAAATTGCTGCTTTGTGCCATGTTGAGTCCCAGAAATGACCTGACATTTAAATGATCTTCAAAAGGATTAATGATTTTATAATTCGTTTGTTTGTTTTTCCTTTTTTTTATTTCTAGCCAAGGACCCCTGTCATCGATTAGAGCGGTAATCAAGAGATGTAAGTTTATTTTTTTTCTGGCTCTGTATTTTCTTCTGTAATAATTTTAAATGATTTTGATTTCCAGCAAGTGATTATATTTGATGAATATTACAAAGAATCCTGCAAGAGTAGCTATTCCTAGGAAACAATAAACAATTTCAGTCAGACAAGCAGCTAATGTTTCAACTTTGTTCTCAAATTTTATTTATTAATAAGCCAGTTTCTCAGAATAATTTTTCATACAGATCAAGCTGTTTAGGAAAGAAGTTTGGATTAGTTCATCCATTTCCATCTCCAGTGTAGATTTTATGTAACCTTTTCTGTAGGTATAGATATCTAATGGGTTTCAAAAATATAAAGCCCTATCCTTTTTGATTCATTTGCTTGCACAGTATTTTTATTTAACTATATAAATGCCAGTAGAGATCAGCTCACACTTCCAGGTCATGCAAGATAGAGTGTCAGTGTATAATTTCTACAAAATGACACGTTCATTCATACTTTGTGCTTATAGCCCTGCTTAAAGCCTTAAGCTTTAGCTGATGCAGGATTTTTACATTCTTTTGAATACAAGGATCATCAGAGGTATCTTTCCCATAGAACATGAATTGCATATACTTATTTTTTTAAAGGTGAGATTTTTGAGATTTACATTATTTGAGCTTAGCTCACCACCCTAAGGGAATGGATCCTGTTTTTAGAAATGTAATTTGTATTGTGGCTTTAATATAGGATCTCCACAGGTAGTGGAGAGCACACATTTAAACCTTTGCAGTGAAAAATTTGTTAAGTGACAATACATAAATATACTACATTCCCCCAGTTCATTTTTGTTATTGTTGGCAAATTGTAGAGATGTGAGAATATTGGAGGGAATTCAAAAATGAAAATGAAAAATTAAGTACAGCTTTACATGTTTAATAACCTTTGGTGTAAATAGGCAATAACTTATTGCTGGAGATCAATTTAGAGTACTCAATATTATAGACAAAACCTGGAAATATTTTAGATAGGAAGTGTAGAATGGTGTTTCTCAGCCTTTTTCTCCCAAGTGTCCCCTTTTAGCCTTGTTTTCTTCCTATTACTTCCCTGTCTTACTGTTGATGCTCTAGTGACATGCTGTACACCCCCATTTATATGATTTCAACTATTGTCCCACCCCCACCCCACTTCTTGAAATGGAACATTAGGAGGCCTCACAGAGGGCCTTATGGTTTCCAGTTTAGAAATACTGGTATATGGAGAAGGTAATAAAGAAGGAAATGTAGGAAAACTGGTGTCTGAGGCCAAGCTGTTTCAACCTCCAAAGAGGGCTAAAAAACAGGCCTGCAGAGATGGGCCTCATTCACTGAATATTGCATGTTCCTGCATTTGTTCTCCAGTTCCCTTTCTTCCCTCTTGGATTTCAGGACTTTGTTGGGGTACCAAACTTCCCATAGATCCCCAAGGATGGCTTTTTGTTTAAGCCTTCCATTACAGTAACACTGATATCAAATATTTAGCTATCAAGTGTACAACATTACAAATCAACAAGTAGGTATAATGTAGATATAAATATATATGTGTGTTATATATATATGCAATATACACCAAAATCCAATTTCCATTTTCCAACATACAATTTTCAACATACAATTAACAATTAGACACCTTTTTTAAATTAAATTACCCTGTTTTACATTCAGGCAACCAGTATTTTGTTTTTGTAGTCAAAGAAATTTTTTTTGTTCTAATTTTGTTGTCATTGCCTTTCCTTTTTTCTTTCTCACTTTCTTGCTTACTCTCTTTCACTTTATTTTCTGGTCATGTGCTTTAAATAGTGCATTATGATTTGATGTATGCAGTGAGTATACCTCACTGCCACTAAAGTACCCAAGACCCTTCACCAATATCCTTGTGTTGTTTCCAGTCCACCTCACCATTTTCCCCCATATACTTTACCCTTTACCTGACATTCTGAGTTCTACAAGAGGATGGCTCTTCTTACCCTCAGGTCAATGAAAGCTTAAAGAGAAGACAGCTAAGGAGAAGGGGCCAAAAAGACTGAAAAGGATGATCAGAATAAGAGGAAAAACATCAGGAAACAGCTGTAGGTTAGGGATCAAAGGGAGGCAGGTTTCTATGAATGAGAAACTGCAAATAGCTCGTAATGCTGCCACAAGATAACTGAGAATGGATTTTTGTGCATAAGACTTAGGGGGCTAGTGGTGACCTTTGAGAGAGGTTTCAACAGGGCAATGAAGTTGGAAATCCACTTCAGTTTGAGCAATGAGTGGAATATGTGCAAGTAGGGACAGCTGAGGGAGGCCACTGCGATGCTCTTAGACGGTAAACAGAAGAAGGGGCTATTAGCTTGAAAAGAGGGAGGAGGGTTGAGGAGAGAGGAGATCAAAAAATCCTAAATGTTTGCAGACTATTTAGGATGAGGACACTTGGAGACATTTTTTTGGCACCAGGGAATGAATCAGTGGGGAGCTCAGGCTAGAACACGAGATGAGAAAAACAGGGAAGTGGAGTCCTAACATGGTAGAAAACAGAGATCGACAAAGCCTTAACAAGGGAAAGTTTTGTGGGTCCATTTTTCCCCCTAAAATAACCCAATTATCTTTATTCTATTTTATCTTATTTTTTTCTTTTGTGACCACTCACGACTCTGTGTTCCAAGTGTTCATGTGGTGCTGGAGTATTGAGCCTGGGCCTCCTGCATGCGAAGCATTGAGCATCTGTCATTGAGCATCTCTCCGTCCCCCAAAATCATTATTAATGTTAATATTGCAGATTCACATACCAGCCATTCTGTAAATAGCATAATAGAATTTGTACATATAATTTAACTGTATGAATTAGTAAAAGTTTTAAAATCTGTAAAATGATACTCTGACTAAAAATACTGCCATTCTTTAGCCTTAATTCAAAATGCACATGAGTTAAGCAACTATAGCAAAGGTTAAATAGAACATGTTGGTTTATATAGGCCTTGCTGAAAAATTTGGTTCTCCTGGCAACTAAGACGTGGAATCTTTTTAATCTTGGATAGTGAGAATAAGATTCATTTGTGTATATTTGAGAAATAACAGGGAGAGGATGAGATAATACATGAGAAGGTACCGTAAAGATCTAGTGTTTCTAGATTTGAAATATCAACCATTCTATAAGGATCAAGAGATAAAAAATATTTCATAATGTGAGACAGTACATGAGAATCTACCATAAAGATATAATGTTTCTAGCCTTAAAATATCAACCAATTTATAAGGACCAAGAGAGAAAAAATATTTCATAAAGGAGGGAATATAGAGGTTTTAAAAAATCATATAAAGCATAAGAGAAAATATCCCAAAGATGTGAAAGTACGAAAGTTTGACTGGAGGTCTTCTCCTGCCATGGTCGGCTGTATCTGGAGTCAGAATATGCCACTTTGGGCCTTTAATTACTTACCTACTTGGGTGACACTGCAAAATTAAGCCACTGTAAATTGACTATTGAATTATCTTTTAAGTATTGTGCGTGCTTTAAAATTGACTCCTACTGAAGTAACAAATCAACTTTGTCAAATGTATTATAGATTTTTTTGCACAGTTGTTAAAACTTATGGATAATATTTTGTTATTATTGTTTTGTTTTTTACTTGTGGTTATGTATGTGGAAGTCCTGATGTACACAGATACCTTTGCAGCAGACATATTTCTTCACTCCCTGAAACAATGGTTCATCAACTTTTCTTTTCCATCCAAGTGTGCAGAGTGGGGGAAACTGTGGCATTGCAAGACAGTCTTGCTCTTTCCCTTAGCACTCATGAATAGTGCACAGCAAAAATGCCCCGTGGAAGAGGTATGTTTGTGACAATAAATAACATGATGTCTTTGAAAAGTGCTGTGTCTGCTGAATCTGGCTTTAGTGATTGTGGGGATGTGATTGTAGCATACTCGTGAGCCCATGACTTTCTAAAACCATTCTTGCCAGTCAGACATGCCATTCAGAACCTGAATTTCTCTGTCCTCATATTTCAGTAGATAAAACACAGCCAACTTGGTTTAGTTATTGAGAAAAATGTATGAGCAAAACCAGTTGTTGGTATGAATGTAAGAATTCCTCCATCTTGAGATCAGGGGTTTGGGCTTCCGAGGTTGGCGTCCCAGCATGGGTTCCGCTGCCACAGCTCAAGCCCCAGCGGCCAGCTGTGTCCCATCTTTACCTTTCCCTCCCCAGTAATGGCAGGGTCCCTATTCAGAGGGAACCTGAGGTTAGTGGGAGGAAGAAAGAAAAGAATAATACCTTTCACATTTTCAAGTTATTGGACTACAAAATTTTGTATTGGAGAAGTGTGAAGTTAGCTAGTAGAAATAATTAATATCTAAAACATCTAAAACAAGTTTCCCTTTGTGCACAAATCCTTGCATTATTTGACAATTAAAAAATCATCTTTAGAATGTACTCCTTGAATATAGGAATAATATTTTATATTACATGTATGTGTAATACTTGATATCATGCTTGATCATGATCATGATCATCCTGTTGTTCAGTGATTGTCTTGAGCAGGCACCGGTAACGTCTCCTTCTTCCTAGCCCTGAGATTTTAAAAGAGCCATATTCAATGCTCTTTCAGGGCTAGGAGAATGAGACCTATCATTGTTACTGGTATTTGGCATATTGAGTACGACACGGGAAATTTGCCAGACTCTGCCGTGTGGGCAGTATACTCTCAGTAGCCTGCCACCATGTGTGATATGTCTCCAAATTCAGCTGATTAACTTAATTTTAAAATAAAATGGGGTGGGGCTGGAGCCGTAGCACTGCAGGTAGGGTGTTTGCCTTGCACGCGGCCAACCCGGGTTCGATTCCCAGTATCCCATATGGTCCCCTGAGCACCACCAGGGGTAATTCCTGAGTACAGAGCCAGGAGTAACCCCTGTGCATCGCTGGGTTTGACCCAAGAAGCAGTGAATAAATAAATAAATAAATAAATAAATAAAAATGTGGGAAAAGTTAACCTATCTGGTTCTTTTAAATTTGAGACTTGAGGGAAAGTTCAGTGCTTGCAAATACAATATGTGCTAAAGCATGTTTCAAAAATGATTTCAAACATTCCTAGAATAGCTTGTATTATTATCTTTTAAGTAAATAAACCAACTTAGTTTGTCAAACTCTAGAAAAGTTAGAATCTAGATTAAAAATTTACGATTTCCATGCAGTTCATGATAGAGTTACAAATAAACATTGCAAAAAATGTCATATGGATAAGAATGAATATTTTTACTTTTCCCACCCATTGTTATCTCCTGTCATTGTCATAATGTTCTTACCATGTGATTTCTATTTTATAGTTGTCTTCTCTGTTTTTTCTTCAAAAATTTCAGAACCACACAGTGTACTTGGATAGCTTTTCAAATCTATATTTATATGCAATTTAAATATAAAAATTATACCTATGAATCCTTTTTTTACTTTATGCTGATGTATTTTAAAGTCATACATTCAATATGATATCAAGTATAAGCTAACTCTTCTTCAATAATATATATTGAAAAATTAATACTTTCATTTAATGCATTAATTGTATAATTTATTGTTTCTTCTGTTTCTGTAGCTTCTCGTCCCTCTATTCAGAATGAGCTTCATCGAGATAGGAGGTACTATTATGTTTATAAAACATTCTGCTAATGAAATAGTCATCAGTTTTTAAGTTAAATATTTCTCTTTCACAAAGCATGTATTATGGTATGTTTCCAGATTTAATTTATAAGATTGAATGATAATGTTTTTGTTTGAGAGATGAAGCAATCCAAGCCTGAAAATGTTTAATATTCCTCTGAAGTAAATTTAGAAGTATTTAAATGACTGCCATATGTAAAGAATTCAGAGAAATTCACTGCTCTTCCTGGAAGCCAGGGACAGGAGTGCATGCTTTGCTTGTAGAAACCCCGAGTTTGATCCCCTGTCCCCAGACTCCCATCCTACCCCCTTCCAGTAAAACTGATATGGCCTTGGTGTCCCTCAAACACTACTTGAGAGGTCCGTTAAAAAAAAGGAAAAAAATAGAAAAAAGAAAAAGAAAAATCTTTCACTTCCTGGCTATGTCTAGATATTGCATAGATAAATATTGCATAGATAGTGGGCATCTTATGGGATAAACTATGAAATGGAAGGAAAAGAAAGGAAAGGAGTCAGGTGGGCTGGGTAAATAACTTGAATAGATAAGTGGATTTTGGAGGGAGGGACAAGAAAGAGGATGGAGTCACTGGATTGACAGAAGGACTAATGGACAAATGGTGAAATGGAAGAAAGGGTGAAAGGTAAACCACCACTTTTAAATTCTTTCAGTATAATTTAAAATAATGAAAAACAAGATCTGTAGAATCAGTCATAATCAAATTTGAATTCTGACTTTACTTTCTTATCATGTAACCTTGGGCAAACTACTTATCCCTCCTTAGTTTCGTAACCCTGTCTTTAAAATGGTACTACTCATAGATACTTCCAAAGTTTTCATGAGAACTAATGCATGCATAATGCTTAATATTTATTAACTATTAACTTTGTATTTAGATAGAAAAAACTATAAACAGAAGTTCTTAGGTAATGTTGTTCGAATTGGGGATCTGAGCAATAGAACAGTGGATCAGTCTCTTTCCTTGCACTCATCTGACCTGGGTTCAATCCCTGGTATCTCATATAGTTCCCTGAGCCCACCAGGAGTAATTTCTAAGTGCAGAGCCACATCGCTGGGTGTGACCCAAAAAGCAAATTCTATCTATGAGTAGGTTCTGTTGTTGCATAACTTATCTCAGGAGTGTCCATATATGCACTATTTTGATATGATACAGTTCTTGCTTTATTTATTTAATTTTCTGCAGTGCCAGGGATCAAAGCCAGGATCTCACACCTGTAAGATAAGTGCTCTATAACTGAACTACAGCCCTGGTCCTGTTTTTTTTTTTCTTTTTTGCTTTTATTTTGGGACACCCCAGCTGTCCTCAGGGCTTACTCCTGACTCTGATTTCAGAGACTTCTGATGGTGCTCTAAGGGCCATATGGGATGCCAGAGATCAAACCCACCTCAACCACATGACCACATGCAAGGCAAATGCCCATCCTGCTGTACTGGCACCCCAGTTGTCCCATTTATATCCCAAATTGAGCAGGAACACACATCCAACTCAAGAAGTGAACATGTAAACATTTAGAGATAATTTTGAATTGGTACAGAAATGAGCAGAGGAGTAAGGGGATATTTTATATCTGTGGAGTCATTTCTGACTATGTAATAATTTAAATGGATCACAGTTACGGTCCTCCCATTGTTCGTCAATTTGCTCGAGCGGGCCCAGTAACATTGTGAGACTTGTTACTGTGTTTGGCGTATTGAATATGTCACGGGGAGCTTGCCAGGATTTGCCATGCGGGTGAGATACTCTCCGTAGCTTGCCGGGCTCTCCGAGAGGGGCAGAGGAATCGAACTCGGGTCAGCCATGTTGGCTTCACATAAGGTAAATGCCCTACCCACTGTGCTATCTCTCCAGCCATTTAAATGAATAATAATAATTAATAATTATAATAATTAAAATGAAATGATTCCGTTTATCGGTGTGCTTTTCTACCATACAATACATTGATTTTTTTTGTGGACTAGAATGAAGAGATCAGTGGGCCTCCTTTGCTCATATTTTTATCCACCAAGCTAGAGTTAAGCTTTCTTCAAGTACACCCAAAGCATTTTGCAGCCAATACCCAGAGGATTTAGTCTTTTACTCCCTTGAAGTCTTCCAGGTGTACTGTTGGAGAGGCCCATGACAGATCATTTCTGTGACTGTGGCTGTTCATTCTTGTGTGACATTTTATGTTTCTTTGTATATTTTCAGATAGACAACAACGCGTATCAAACTGTATCAAACGTGTATCAAACTATCTAATCTTATTCAGACTTCTGTCCACTAGGCGCCCAGAAATCACCATTGTGGCAGCAGAGCCGCTGAGGCCCAGTTCGTGGTTTCCTGGAGTCCCTCCCCCGGGACTAGGATTCTCCCAGTCTTCGGCAGCAGGCCCCTGGAGGCCCAATGACCTGGTTCCTGCTGAGGTGAATAAATGCCCCATTATCTTCTTCCACTTATTTATTTACTTACTTAGTTTTGAGGCATTTTATTTTTCAAATAAAGTTTGGAGTTAAGAACTGTGAGAATAGTAACGTCTTGGCAGGTGCCTAAAATCTTTATTCTTTATCTTGCAGCTCCCACCATCTTATGAACAAGTTATAAAAGAAATCAACCAAGTTCAAGTTAATACTACAAATAATAATAATGCTGCTGCCACTCCTAGGCACACAAGTACATCTGCAACTCAGACTGACTTTTCAGAAGACATAGACAACCATCTGCCTCAAAGTAATGCAAGTAATTTGTCTTCCCTAATCCTGATCTAGTTCTCGTGAAGTAATCTTAGGTTTCTAGCCTTTAAAATAATTTGCAATTTGTGCATAATTCACTGGACTCTGCTTCCCAGTCAGTGTGATGAGTGCGTGCTTTCTTTATTTGGGTATGCAGTGATTATCGTAATAGATCATTTCAAGCCTTCGACCCAATCTCTTGGGCACATCCTAGTTGATAGCACAGAAATAACTTCCTTGTGATTCATGGTTGGTATTACTGCTTATGCCCTTTCTCCCCTTTGAAAATGGCATTATATTTAGCAACTTATACTTGATAGGATGCTAAAGGTGATTGTCTTCTTACACTTTCCATAGAAATACTGTACTAGGACAACAGATGAGCTATGTTACTTTGGAAAAGTAAGGCAAAAAATGTTGGAGTTTGTGGGCTGGAGATACAGTATAGCAGTTAAAATCAGGTTCAATCCCCAGCATCCCATATGATCCCCTGAGCAACTCCAGGAGTGTTCCCTGAGCATCGCTGGGTGTGGCCCAAAAACAAAACAAACAAAAAAGTTGGAGTTTGGAGGGAAATGATTCATGTGAAAAGTCTACTAAGAATCAGAAATTTAATGATGTTTTTAAATAATATAGAATGAATAGTTTTTTTTAAATAAACATAGGTTGAAGAACAACCCCAGGGGAAGCATAGTATACTTTAACAATATCAGAATCAATTTGTACTAAATAAACCGAACTTGTTTGCTGTTCTCTATGTGGGTCTTAAAAAATTTGCATATCCCCTTTTTGCTTTCTATGCAATTACAGTATGCCACTTTTTGTTCATTTTCGCCTTGTTAGCACTGCAGGCACCTCTCAAGCCTCTTCAGTCTTCCCCTGCAGTGTCTGCCAGTGACCTTCTGACCAGTGTGGCACCTTTAATTGTCTTTGATGTTTCTGATGATCAGAATTGTCCAGAAAGCTCCAGTGCTACAAGATGTCCAGTGCCAAGACCAAGATCAAAGAACAACCTCAGACCAGTAGCCAGGGATACTCACAATAAAGAGAAAATTCACCAGAAAACCAGCCCAGTGTCCACAGAAGAAGCGTCCTTCCCCCACCGGCCCCAGTCCCTGTTGGACAGTCCTGACGACATAGCTGGTCAGGCAGCAATAAACACTATGAATACAGAACGAAGCCAAAATAGTATTGTTTCAAGAATCAAAGCATTTGAGGGCCAGACCAATACAGAAGCCTGGGGACTGCCCAAGAAACCAGAAATTGCTCCCCGTACACTCCCTCCGAGGCCTGTTTCCTCAGGGAAACCCTCTGTGGCTCCCAAACCAGCTGCTAACAGAGCCTCTGGAGAATGGGACTCCTGGACAGAAAACAAGCTCAAAGTGACCTCCAGGGAAGGGCTTAACTCTCAATCACCATCACAAGAAGCAGGGAACATCCCAGTAACCAAACCTGAGTTGCCAAAGAAACCAAATCCTGGCCTTATTCGAAGTCTTCATCATGAGAATCTGGGAGGGGCACCCACAGCCGAGAGCGCTGATGGTGGAAAGAAAGTCCCGATGCCTGCCCCTCGGCCTTTGCTGTCCAGGAAGTCAAGTTCCTCAGAAAACCCCACCCCACCTGCAGCTTTGCTGAAACCAGTCACTGTTCCTCCTCGACTCTCAGTGGCATCACAAGCCAAAGCATTCAGGTCCCTGGGAGAAGGTCCCCTCACCAATCCCCCAGCACCAGTTTTGCCAAGCAAGCCTCCAGTGGACATCGACCTCATCAGTTTTGATGATGATGTTTTACCCTCTCCACCTGGGAACTTGGTTGAAGAATCTGCTGGTTCAGATATGGTTCTGGGTAAGTGAGGAGTTGGAGGAGAAAGTGAACTCATTGCAGGCAATCTTCAATGGCATTTGCTGTTTTGTTTTTGGTAATAGAAGCTATTGAGGGTGTGAGTGTTTGTGTGTTTGTGTGTGTGTGTGTGTGGTAATAGAAGCTATTGAGGGTGTGTGTGTGTGTGTGTGTGTGTGTGTGTGTGTGTGTGTGTGTAGAGAGATGCAGAGAAACAGATTACATTTTTGGAGTTGGATAAGGGATGGAGACCAGGAAGAAGGGGAAAGGGAAAATGAGATAGGAGTGGTAGAGATAGGAAAAGGGGAAGACACATTGATTCCTCTCTTGCAAGCCAGAGCAAGTAGACTGAGACCAGAACCAGCGGTGAGACTGGCTTGCTTACTGCTGTGAGGGGAGCATCAGGGGGAGAGAGAGAATATCAGGTAGCTGGGAAGTCATTTAGGGGCCCCAGAAACCCCACTGGGGTTCCCCAGACAGGGACTATCTCCTGGGAAGACTCTGGCAAGAGCAATAGAGAGAATGCAGATCCAGCCATATGTCACAGTTTTCTTTTTTGTAATTTTCACAGAACATCTTCCCTTGGGAATGCAAATTTTGTAAATAAAACACAACAGTTGTAAGTTTCTTGCCAATATCAGAATAATTAAATTTCCCAAGAGACAGAGAGTATGTTTTCTTTCCTCACACTGGTCAGATGGAGGCTTTGATGATAAGGCTTATCTTTGATTTTCCAAACTAAGCTGCCTTACTTGTCATTGATATGGTTGATAATACTGCTTTTCACTTATTCAGGTAGAATTTGTGAACTTACACATTTAATGGTATTTTCAAATGGTTGTCATCTTTCAAATATGTGATATGCATCAAAATGATAAAAGATCTGTGATTCAAAACCAAGTTTCTTACAACAAATGTGGATTTCAAATGATAGCAAGCACTAATTTATTCATATTTAGTATACACACTTGGTATCGAAGAAATAAGTCAGAATATATTATGCATCTGTAGTGTGTCAGGCCCTCTGCTGGGCACCAATATGAACATTATTAAATTTAATACTTAACCCTCTGAAGATGTTGGTCTTAGTTTGCAAAAGAAGAAAATGAAACAGTGATAGAGACCAATGACCTATGTCATAAAACAATTTCCCAAGGCATGATTCAAACAGTATTTTTATCCTAGGTCTGGTTTTTTATTGTATCCTATCGCTACTGAACATTTTCAGGAATCCCAGGCGACACTAAAACTTTTCAAACCTTTGTTATGTAATTCTTATTTCAACCTTTTTGGTGTTACAGGTTGAGGGTAGAAGAGACATAGGCAAGTCCAGCAGAAGCAAGCTGTTAAGGGGTAGAAACAGTACAAGCAAAGAAATATTGCCTTTTATAGAACCCCCATATTTGGGGGGGTCTGGGGGTGATACTTGCTTAATAATAGCTCAGAAATTCTTCTGTGTCATCAAGCAGATAATTACAGTCATCTTCAAAAAGGAAGGTCAACAATATAGTTCACCATGAATATAGGCTCATACTTCATACTTAGCCTTTTCTGTTTCTTGATTTCTACCACTTCGTTGCACAACATTTAATTATTGAGGCCGTCTTTTAGCAAAATGTGTAATTTGCTTGCCCCACCTAACTTTAACTATTGCTCTGGATTGTGGAGTTATATTGAAACACTTTTATCTTCTTTGTAAACCCTCTCACTTCCCATATTCTGCACCTTTTATACTGGTACTGTCACCTAGCCATCCCTGAGAAGCTTGGAACTAATCTTGCATCTTCCCACCCTACTGGTAAGGGGCTCTTTTTTGGATTGGAATCAGGAAGGCTGGGTTGACTATTTAATCACCCTGTAACCTTGGGCACTTGAATTAACCCTGCAGTGCCTACATTTGCTCCTATGAAACATGATAATAATAGTCTTCATGAAGTATTTGCAAGGAAATCCCTGTCATTGTCTGAAACATGCTGTGTATCCCTTAAGTAATGGTTATTATTGTTACAGCTCACTCTACACAGCCCGTTACACCTTCTGAGTAGCTCCTCTGAGTTTTCCTTCTGAGTAGTATGCCTTCTAAATAACTCTTTTCATCTTCTTCCCATTTCTTTCCTTCTGGCTGCTGGCCACTTCAGGCCTTTATGTCCAGAGTTCTACTTGACCACCTGCAGACACAGAGCCCCTACATTCTGCCTCAAACCCGTCATCCTCTATATGAAGATGATCTAAAGGAATTTTGAACCTTGTTTCCTTGCTTATTGTTCTTCAGAGGCCTTTAACTCACCTCAGCTCAGTGCTATGGAGAAGAAATTTTGTTGGTTTATTGATGTAAAACTTTGTGGCTCCCCCATCCCCACCAGCACTCCCAGTTACAGAACCTAGGACCTCACACATGCATTCTATCATTAAGCAATGTTACCGGTCATATTTGTGACTTTTCAAAAGTATGTTAATACCACTGAGTTTGTAAATAAAGCATTATGATCTTGAAACCTTACCCAGTCATCATAACTTTAGCCAGAAGTTGAGAGAAGAGCACAGTCAAGAAAGGAGAGAAACCTGTCGATAAAGTTTTTTTTCCCTTTTCTTTTGTCCTTCTGAAATCAAGAAAATCTTTATGAAATAGTTTCCATAGAATCAAATTCCATATTAATCTCAGGAAATATAGTGATCCAAATATACAAAACTATGAAAACATTGTAAAGATTGAAAAAATTATTAAAGGAAAACTCATAAAATAGGCAATTTAATATTGGATTCATTTCTTGGGTAGAATGCCTTCTGGGTTAATGTAATAGTGAAGTATTGGCAATCCTCTTCACACCTTTACAAATCATTCCCAATTGTCAAGAATGAGAGAGAGAGAGTGAGAGAGAGAGAGAGAGAGAGAGAGAGAGAATATACTTTTGCTGGCAACCCCATTACATAGACCAGATAATAGTTTCGCAGTCAATTTCTGCTATTAACAGAACTCAAGGGAACGAAATGACAGTATAGCAAGCCAAGGATGGAGAAACTAATGATGATGACAAGCCTATTATTAGAGACAGGTAATGGGCAGAAAACCACACTATCATCAGTGGGTTTCTCAGTGCAGTAAAGAAGACAGGCAGGTATCGGTATAAGGGGCCTGCTTGTTTGACAACAGGTACAGAATAATTGGTGGTGGCTTGAGGGAGAAGGAGAGCACAGTACATATAGGTAAAGAGAGAGCCCTTGGCCTAGATGATGCTTTATATTTTTATTTTTGATAGATGCAAGAGCAATCTGTAATAAACTGTAGCACTGTAGTTCTTTAGGATCACAGAAATTTGGGGATCTGGTTTTCGGCTTAGTTCACCTGTGGATCTTGATCTCTCCTGAAAATGTATGCATAATCAAGGTCTAGTTTCACAGTGTCAAGAGCCTGTTTTTGGATTCCTTAAAAACTTCCATTATAGGGGCTGGAGCGATAGTACAGCGGGTAGGGCGTTTGCCTTGCACGTGGCTGATCTAGGTTCAATTCCCAGCATCCCATATGGCCCCCCAAGCCAGAAGGAATTCCTGAGTGCATGAGCCAGGAGTAACCCCTGAGCATCGCCGGGTGTGACCCAAAAAGCAAAAAAAAAAAAAGTTTCATTATAGGGGCTGGAGCAATAGCACAGCAGGTAGGGCGTTTTCCCTGCATGCGGCCAACCTGGGTTTGATTCCCAGCATCTGTATGGTCCCCTGAGTACCGGCAAGAGTGATTCCTGAGTGCAAAGCCAGGAGTAAACCCTGAGCATCGCTGGATGTGACCCAAAAAGAAAAATACAAAAAAACTATCATTATAGATCATTCGAAATAAAATCTTCAGTGAACAGCTCAAATAAATTATGGTGGAGCCATCCAGTGGAGTGTTGTACAGTAATTTAAAAGGAGGCAGATACAGGAGAGTTGGATCAGACAATGAGAGAACAAACATGCATGTGGAGGCCCCACATTTCATTCCTGTGACTGGATGCCTGCCTCCTCCCAGCACTTCTGGTTGTATCCCTGGTGGCCCCCTACCACTGGGCGCTAACAGTGTCTTATCACCAAGTTAAGACTATAGAGCCAGGCCAAGAGTCACCCAAAATGATACCTAGGCCTACTAAATACTGTTTGCAGGGCCCAAACTAAGTAAACAAATAAAAATGGACAGACCACTTATTTTCCCCTATGTTAAACCAACCTCCAGGATATTAAGTATAAAATACAAAGAATAGTCATGGTATTTTATATACTCTTTGTCTATATACACACACCGGTATGCAGTATCTCTGGAAATGTAGAAATGTAGATTAAAAAGTTGATAACAGAGTTTTTTTTTTTTTGGTGGTGGGGGGGGGGAGGCGGGGGAGCAGGAACTGGATCGCCAGCAGAGGATTGTAGGAGCCTGGTTTGCATAATAGTTGAATGTACTAACAATTTAGATAAAAGAAGCTAGGAGAGTTCTCTCTTGACTTTGCCATGAAATTACTGCCTTCCATACTAAGCTTCGAGTTTGCTCTGAGTAGAATTTTTTTAAACTAATAAAATGTTAGAGCCAGAGAGACAACACAGACGGTAGGGTGCTGCCTTGAATGCGGCCAACCCGTGTCAGTCCCCAGCATCCCATATGGTTTTCTGAGCCTGCCAAGATTGATTCTTGAGTGCAGAGTTAGGAGTAAGTCTTGAGAACCACCAGGTGTGACCCCAAAATAAAAATGATAATAAAATGTCAGGACCAGAACAGTAGCACAGTGTGTAGAGCACTTACCTTGCATATAGCCAGTCTGTGTTTGAATTCTGCACACCACATATGGTCCCCCTATCCCTGCCAAGAGTGATACTGAGCTCAGGGCCAGAAGTAAGCCCTGAGCACTAGTGGGTGTGGCCCCAAGACAAAATAATGACAATAATAATAAAATGTGATTTTTCTAGTTGTATGACTCTACAAATAAAAACTGATTACTACGATAGGACTGTGATGGGACTGTCCTCCCGTTGTTCATCGATTTGCT